ATTTTTTGTATGACTCATGGAGTGAATCATTCATTTGCGCATGCACACATTTGTGCAAGTAGAGCTCACGTGCTACCTCGATTTTGGGCAGAATGCGCACATGTGGCCTCAAACCAAATTAATATGACAGATATTGGATAATTCCGCATCCCTTTGGTGATTCATATCGATATATCCCCAGAACCCGATTTACCGCCCAGCCCTACAAGTGGGCATGTCTGAGAGCCAATAGGAGAGGAGTGAGGCCAGTGGCACGGCCGCTGATGACTGTTCCTTCATAAGAGCTCTAGAAGAAGTGATCACAAAGAAAAACGAGAGAGTGCAAAGCATGGGACATTTTATATTTTGGTTTTGGGTTCTTTTTCAGTGGCAGTTGTTTCTGTTGATTTCTTTATTAAATGTTTAATGTCTCAGCCAGTTGCCGCCTCACACAGTTGTGTGTGTGTTTTTTTTTTATTCATTTGGCATTTTTGCTATTGGGATATGACAATACGTGAAGAGAAAACACAGTTAAAGAGAAAGGACTGAGATTGGATAGGGAAAAGTCTGCAAACTGGGACTCAAACTCAGGAAGCCCAAAGAGCAATGGTGTTGTATGTCAGTACACTGCCCACAAGGCTATTAGTAGCCCCTGCCATATAGTGAGCTCTTGTAATGAAGTTATGGGTTGCGGATGGAAGGACATCCACTGCGAAAAACATTTGCCATAGTAGTTGGCGGTTCATTCCACTGTGGCGACTCCTGACAAACAAAGAAATAAGTCTAAGGAAAATGAATGAATGAATGAAACTAATTTATATTATTAAGTAGTTATATGAATAGTCATACACTAACTGTCACCTTAAAATAAAGTGTAACTAAACTGTGTAAAACATGTGCCGGAATAGTTGGCGGTTCATTCCGCTGTGGCAACTCCAGATAAATAAGGGACTAAGTTGATGAAAAATTTATGAAAAATTACATTTTGATTAATCAAAAGTAAAAATTGTAATATCTTTAACAGTTTTGAACCCATTCAGTTGATTTCTTAAGGTTAGCTTAGCATAAATCATTTAATTGGATTAGACTATTAGCATCTCCCTCAAAAAAGTAAAAAGAAATCCTATTTAAAGCTTGACTCTCTGTAGTGACATTGTGTTCTAAGAACCACAGAAAAAAGTTGCTATTTCCTAGGTTGCTATGTCTAGGATGTACACTCTCATTCCGGCATAATAATCAGGGCACTTTGCTGCTGCAGGGTTACCTAGTTACCTAGATGAGGGCTATTTTCAAGTGCTGTGCCCCATGATACGACAGCAAAGTTCCTTGATCAATACGCTGGTCTAAGCACATGTTATAACTACAGAAGAATCAAGCTTTAATTAGGAGAAATATCAGATGCTACTGGTCTAACTCGATTCATGCTAAGCTAAGCAAAGCTAAGCTAAGCTAAAAGTTCTCCCACCAGATGCAGAGATCAGTTGAATGGATTCAAAAAGGATAGGTGACTTGTAAAATGAGCCTATTTCCATAAAAAGTTCTCCATGCTATTCAAGAAATGCCATGACCAGTGGGAACTCCGCATATTGGAATGATTTTGCTAATGTCATTTCACTGCACAAACAGTGACCATCAGTATCACGAAGCTGTCTGGTACTATATCAGAAAAGAAATCAAAGTCATTCTGATCCGTCAAACAAAAGCAAACTGAAGCGCATCAACATTGACAGACAAGCCCTCCCTGCTGGAGAAACTCCACCCATCTGTTTGTGTGCAAACAAAGGCACCGAGCTCCTTTTAAGGAGGCTGAGGCAGAGAAGGCGAAATAGATGTGAGCTTTTTCCTCCTTAGCCAGCTGGGTTTTAGGCTGGAAGATTATTTCTGCATATTCCCCTCTCCACTTTCTACAATCACATTATTCTCTCTTACCCCTGCCTGTGAAGCACTCACATCCACCGGGGAAAAGAAAGTGCCTGGGAAAGGATATCCAAACACAATCAGGCATTAACCCCCACATATGCTTTGGGGAATGCGATGACAATACGCAACATCCAATAGGAGACATTTTGGGTCTGTGCCTGTTTTCTGAGCACTGGTAAATGCTGCAGACATAGAGAGACGAACCCTGCTGCAAGGCACACCATAGGTGCTCAGTGCAGGAGATGGAGGAAGCTGTTGCCATGGTAACCTGCAACACATGGGTCGCCAAGCAACAGCCAATCGTGACCTCGCCACTCTCGCAATCTCCACCATGTGTGCGAGTGTTTACTGGTATCTTCGCAAATGACGACTAAAAGCAGCTTACAAGCAATAAGATAATAAATATCCATACGAACAGCTAGTGTGAATAGATCTTCATGGAAGAGACTTTAGCAGAAACTTCAAGGTGATGTAGTTACACATGTTCCATGCACTTACTATAGTAATTACAATGAATTATGATTAATTACATATATCTAGGGCTGAGCGATATTGCAAAAAAAAAATCATGATATTATGTTTCATATCATTCGATATTGATAATTATTGAATATTTTTAACAATACATTTAGGAATGTCAGGATTTTTTAACTAATTTAATTTAATTTACCCACATTACTAAGGCAAATAATTTTAATAGTCAAAAACAAAAATATTTAAACTAAATATCTGATCTCATAATAAAATAAACATAAGTGTTAAAGCAGGGGTCTCAAACTTACAATTAATTAAATAAAACTTTAATTTAAAAATTTTATTTAATTTAATTTACCCCCCTTTAATTTGAAAGCTTAATCTTAGTGCGGCCCGCAAGTTTGATATGTATAGCACTTTACAGTTTTGTGTGTGGAGCTGACCGAACCCACAAATCACGGTGGGGTATATGGCTCTCGAGGGCGGGACATCAGCTGGACTTGATGCAGGCAGAGAAACATTTCCCAGTGAGTGAAAGTCACAGCAGTGTTGCCATGGAGTGTTTTCCTCCGTGCCTGATAACTGCCTCGTTTCTATTAGGCACACGCGGACATTCGTCCCAGCGCGCTTCATTCACAACACTTCAAAAAAGTGTTTTTAAGCTGCTGCTCAGCGAGACATTATAAATATATAAATGTATATAAATCAGTGTTTAATTTCAGCAGAATCTTGCCAGATCCTGTTCTGGGAAATGTCAGATATTTGTATTTTTCTTTCCGATATTTTAATTGATTCGGCATTACCTTGTGCGCAGTGAATACCTGCATGTGTGTGTTTGTGTGTGAGAGAGGGAGAGAATGAGTGCAGCAAATGCTGTGTGGATTGTGTGCGCGCAGGCATGATGGTAGTCACCATGGGCTAGTTTAAGCAAAATTCACGTGTAACTATTGGTCCTGAACAATACTTTCAACAAATCATTTTTCTTGCATTTACAATCACTTTCATAGGTTGGTGGTGGTTATTGTTTCGCGCACAGTGAGCAGAAAAGAAACCAAAGTGATGCGTACGCAGCAGAATAAAAGATAAGGAACTCAATAAGCCCCCTGTAACCCGGACCAATTATAGTCACACCATTCTTTGTGTGTTGTTTGCATCGCTCTACCTGAATTGTATTTGCTTTGCCTCCTACAATGAACATTACATATATTTCTATATGATCTAAAAGTAGTCAAAACAAAAAAACAACACAGTGTTTCTTCTTTTTCCTGTAACAGCAGCACGGCGGATAACAGTAAATATCTTTTTATCTTTTTTTATCTTTATCTTTTTTTTATCTTTATCTTTTTTTATCTTTAAGATGTTTTTTTAACTAGTTGCGACTGGAAAATGTGTGCAGTTCATGTGCACCGCTTGCACAACATATGTGCTTTACTCCCATACGCACGCCGTGCAAGTTGCACGCCTCCATTGGAAACTTATACTATAAGCTAATTGGCACTACTTCTAAGGCAAGTGCTCAGTAGCCACATTTTGTTAAAACTTAAGCCTTCATAAGGAAACTACATACCAAATCTTTTTTTAATCGATATTAATAATGGTGTACGGTCAATAAATATCGATACCGATTTTATCGCCCAGCCTTATATCTAACTCTAAACATAACCAACATTCTAGCCCCAGCCATAAAGTAAGCACATGTAATAAATGTATGTGTTACGGCTAAAAGGGCATCCAAACTGTAAAACATATACTGGAATAGTTGGCGATTCATTCTGCTTTGGCTACCCTTATAAATAAAGGAATAAGCCGAAGGAAAACGAATGAATGATTCAATGTAATGAATTTATATTATTTAGTAGTTAAATTTATAGTCACACAGTAACTACCTCACAATAGTGTATAAACAAAACTTTAAACAAAATCATTGTTTCCAGAAGTTTAACGCGATGGCTGCATCCAAGATCACATATTTACACAATATAGTGCACTAAAAACAGTAAGCAATCCGTGTAGTATGTCCGAATTCATAGAATTCTAAAAATAGTATGCGAGAAGTACCCTGGATGACTTGATGCTTCCGAATTCTGAACTACGCATTGGATGGACTCTACGCTATCCCATGATGTACCGCAAAAGAATTCATAAATGGGATTGAAGCATTATAACTGATGCGGGTAGGTCATATGATGATGACAAAATGGCAACTTTAGTACATCAGAGTTCCATTCATACTACACCCATTCATACTGTATAGAATGCACTTTCTAACAGCAGAGTAGTACATTTAAATTCAAATGGAGTACCAACTGAGTAGTAAGCCATTTCAGATGCAGTCTATATATAATGGCCAAGCTGAAAGATTTAAACAGAAGCTGGTAACACAATCATTGTTAATTGAAGTCATAAAAGGTACATTGATGATAAAGATGTTAATGCTTTTAAAATTATGAAATGTAAAAGGAATGTAAATGTCTAACAAAGAAATACACACAAATTCCAGCAGATTTCTTCAAAATTCTAATGTAAATATGGAAATTATGCTACCAAAGATGGCTTTTAATCTATATAACTTCACAGTTTTAATGGGAGAACAAAAGTGTAGCAGTAAACAGTATTGACAGCCTTACCTTTGTTCTTGTTTTTACTTTTGATTTGACTTTTTGCCTCCTTTTTAGCTTCTTCTTGCTCAAAGCTTTCTTCCCCCTGAAACAAAATGAACCATGTCAGTTATCACTATTCACAAATTAACATTAAGCTCAATGCAGATAAAATCATACAAATGGTTATTAAATCTGGTTTATACTGCAGCTTTAGGTGGACAAGAACTGTCTGCTTGTTTTGACATGCTGTTCAGAGATAGAGTCACAATAAAAACAAAGAAAAAAAACTCCTTCAGTATTGGTCTATGTGTCAGCACTTTACACAACTTATTTTTTCATCTGGAAGACTGTAGAGTTTGATATATTGAGAGTGTGTAGATATCCTTCACCCTGAAACTGCCAGTTAACAAATAATAGTTGGCAATTTAGTGTCCAAAATAAATAAGACACAGTGAATGGACTGCTTTATTAGTGTTTTTAGGGCTCAGCGATACAATGAATGTTAGCATTGTTACTGAATTTCTTTGCTGACAATAAAAGGAAAATATTTCACCAATTATATAGAGAGTACAAAGTTTAGCTTTATGTTTGTATACACACGTTTTTCATTTTAATATTCCGTTTCATTTTATCTTTAGTTTAATTTTAGGTTTGACTTATTATCATTATCATAATTATCATTATTATTATGTTAATTGTTCATTAATTACCTGCTGCAACAACGCTACTATGCATTGCTACATTAGCGTCTTGAAATGCTAAGCCACAGGCCTTAAATTGTCACTATTATGGTTAAACTAGTGAATTTATAAATCTATAAATCATGTGTTATGGTTTAGATATTTTTATAAATGTTTTCTTATTTTATTCAGTTTCTACTGTCCAGTTATTTTATCTGGATAACAAACAACATTTCCAGATTAAAATTTAACTGCAGCATTAAATATTTTAGCTTTATTTATATTAACAAATGTATTTGACAGTTGCCGTTTTAGCCGAGAATGACATACTCTGTATTTGGGCTGCACGATATTGAAAAAATCTCATTGCAATATTTTATTTTTCTGCAATAAATTTTGCGATATGAATAATAAAGTTTCACAAGATTTAAATAGCTGTATTTGATAGTTTTCTGGGGAGTCTAACAGTATTCAAGTACAGAAATTGACCAATCACAACAAAAAATATGCTTTTCTTATTTTGCTTTGTCTTGTTCTAGATCAAGTAAAAATTTTGTTCTGTTTTTACATCAAAATTAATAGTTTTTCCTTAAAAGAAGCAAAAGTACTTGCCAACAGAATAAAAAAATCTTGTTTTTGCATTGAAATGTGGATATTTGGTCTAGAAACAAGTCTAAAATTTACAGTTTTGCATAAATTCTGTATAAATAATTAAATATAATTAATCTTTGCTATACCTCCAAACATGTTCAAAGTTTGTGCACGAATATTAAATTGTCACTCCATTATGGTTAAACATAGAAGTGACTTTATAATATAAATAAACTATAATTCAGACTTAACATTGCATATCTTGTGATGCATATATTGTTGAAGCGCACATTGCGATATCGATGCTGAAACAATATTGTGCAGCCCCACTCAGTATTATCAGGCTTTCACTGTAATACACTTAGGGCTCTATTTTGATGATCAATGCGCAAAGTGCAAAGCGCAGGGCGCAAACGCATTCAGGGCATTATAGAATCCACTTTTGCTAATAAAAGGATGGAAAAAATCTGCTTTGAGCCGTGGCGCATGGTCTAAGAGCTTGTTTTCTTAATGAGTTATAGGTGTGTTTTGAGAATAAACCAATCAAGAGTCTCGTCTCCCATTCCCTTTAAGAGCCAGTTGCGTCACGCCATGGTGCATTTGCTATTTACATGACGACTTTGCAAGTGGAAAAACTGAGCGTTTCACTAGCAAGAAACAGTTAAACAGAGCATCTACAGTGCGAGAATGAGCGATAAGGCCACTCATTATCTTTCACTCTCGTGGATAAGGAAACCTTGTACACACAGACATCAATTAGCCTATAAATAATTCATTAATTTCGTTTGTTAATCGCAAAGATTTGTTTCAAAACTATTTCTAAATTCAGTTCTAATTTCCAGCAAATTAATAAATGAACAATATAAACGAAGTGCGTTCAAAAAACTGAGTTATATCCAAATACACATGCTATGCCCTATATGGTCTGAAACCTGACAGTTGGGCAAATCTAAGCTTTTCTTTAGTAAAAAAAATATATAAAAAGCCTGAAAGAAGGATTTTATATATTTATATATTTATATATATATATATATATATTAGGGTTGTAACGGTATGAATTTTTCACGGTATGATAATCGTCTAAAACAATACCACGGTTTGACGGTTTCGCGATATACGGTATGTTACAAATGTTACAAAATAATAGAACAGTGAAGCAAATTTGACTTTTTCTAAATAATATATTTTTAGTTACTATAAACAACACCACTTGCAATGAACAAATAAAAATAAGAAAATAATAAATAATGTGTCAAAGTCCAAATAAAGTCCAAATAAACATGGTGCAAATCCTCAGTAAGAAATAGATATAAATATTTACTATACTATAAATAGTTACATAACGAAACTAGATTCAATATGGAACATCCTTAGGTTTTATGTGCCAGCATGGATATGGTTGTCTGCAATGCAGACAAACAGCTGCATCTTCATTTGCGTCTTTTGAAAACCGCAAGAGCAGCAGTTCGTCTTTGCTGTGTCACTGTTTTGTCATGTTTCTGTGCTGCTGTGCATGCAAAAGTACTTAGTATGAGAATTATTTCATGCAAAACTTTTTTTTTGCGTTTTATTTAGCCGCGCATAAATGTATGCCTATCTCTCATTCCGTGTTGTTCAAAAAGCTTGGTCCACAAACAAAAGCGAAACCTATGCTTATTGGTTGTGATATAGCGAGCTTGAACCAATCTGGGCATGGAGGAGGGACAATGCATCAATGTATCATGTCTGATTTGTCCGGAGACACAGTGACGAGCGTTTCTTTGTCAAATCAGCGTTGTCAAATGTTGATGACGTAACCGCACTGATTCCGGAGCCTCTGAAAGTCCGCGAATGTTATGTGATACAGCACTGGAAAGCTGAGACTCTCTTCTTTATGCCAATCTTTGAATTGTATGAATCGGATCAGCGGATCAAAAGTTATAAAACATTTAAGAGCAATACTTATTTTTAGCCGCGGGCGGCTGTCTCGGTCTTTAAGGGTTAAAACCGTTGATATGCAATTGTTCATGGTATGATAATCGTGCACGTTCAAATCGTGGTAAACCGTCATACCGGTATATTGTTACAACCCTAATATATATATATATATATATATATATATATATATATATATATGAGCAATATCACACGAGTAGCAGTGCGATATGGCTATATATCGGCACTGGTGAGAGGCGTGCCTTGGCTCGAGGCCGCAGGCCGAGTGCCTTAGTGCCCTCACCAGTGCCGATATACAGCCATATCGCACTGCTACGAGTGTGATATTGCGTTTATACAACAGTTTGACGTATTAATATACGTCATACGTCATAATTGTGTATTAAAAAACTAAATCAAACATGAAGAGTCTCAAAAACCTTTTTGTATGAGGAACTACTTTCTTCTGCATTGGATTCAAAACATAAGCTGACAGTTCAACAGCTGAGCAAGCATCTTTTAAACTTTGGATCTGTAGTGTCTGCTTTTTGCTGGCTGTATGTGGGTGGAGTAATACACAACGGGTAAAGAGGCTGTACGGGTGCTGATATTACTTAAATATATCATGGCTATCAGTCAATAAAATTTGAGAACTAGACAGATCTGTTGTGTGTGTGTGTGTGTGTGTGTGTGTGTGTATATATGTATATATATATATATATATATATATATATATATATATATATATATATATATATATATATATATATATATATATCATTAATATCTTAATTATTTTTCATATGTAAAGATATTTGCGTATTGCTTTACATCTTGTATGTAATAAGCAATGTGTAAGCGAGGTGCACAACTAACGCGCTCTGTGCTGGACAATAGACCGGCTTTGTTCTGGTCTATTGAAAAGTACATTATAGTTTCTCAAAATAGCAAGACGCCAGCAATGCGCCTCAACACGTCTTCCTTTTTAGACCAGAATGCCTATGGGCGCAAATATGGGCGCAAATGCATTTGCTATTTAAACAGCATGCCGCAAAACGTCAAAACAACTCTTGCGCAAAGTTGAAACTAGCACACAACAACTGCGTCGTGCCTCCCGCCACATTGCGCCGGGTGAATGATAGGGCATTATATATGTCATATGTCACATATCTTAATAGCTCAGCTGAACATGTATTCATCCTTGTAACTTGTGGTTTCAACATGCATTTTTAATAAGCATGTATTTTACAGTAAAGTGACTTGAGCTCAACCAGCAAATGTTAAATATCAATAAAGCAATTGTTGGTCTTCCTACATCTATTTAAATATGCCTAAACACTGTAAAATGACACTGTATGTGAAACATGAGCATTTGTAAATAGCCCAAACCCTACAGCGGGCGATCCTAATTTAATTTTCAGCAGAAGAGCCGTGCGAAGGTGCTGTTATATTAGAACCTTATGTTGGAACCGTGTTGAAGTGTTTGTGTAGAGCAGTAAACAATAGAACAACAGTAGCTGATTATTTGCAGCGAAAAGTGAAAGCACAGAGGCTGTTTGTGATGAAGGGCCTGAAGGTTGGGAGGGGCGTTGAACGGTTCAGAGCACTTTGCATGCTATCAACGCTGGTGATATCATAAGTGGATGGCATCAGTGTACACTATGAAAGCCTTAAATACAATGTTTGATTTTTGCATTAAATATTTTATAACTGTAAATTAGGAATCCTAATCTACTGTTTAATTTCATTAGCAGCTGAATATAACCAAGCAGGAATGTTTTGGTCAAATACATAAATCCTGATAATTAAATAGCAGAAAAATCAAATAACAATACAGTAATTAGAATGTTTTTGCAAAATCTAATACTAGAAAAAATGTAAAATATCAAAATATTTTAACAAAACTCTGGTCATGAAGTCCTTTTTGTTTTTAAAACAAAAAAAAAACGAATTGTTTTGGTGATTTCATGCACATTAAAAAAAAACTTGACATCTCTAAATCTTACTAATGAGTTTGCTTTATTTATTGAATCTGATAAATATGCAATTAATAAGAAAGAAATGCTCCAATTTCTAAATATAGCTGAATAAAATGCAAAATAGACTTTTGTAAAATAATGTATTCTTTCTGCAAATGTAACTGAAAACGACTATTTAAGACACTGTCAAAGAACATGAAAATAAACTGTAATGATTTGTACAGTAAGATCACAAATAACAAATTGACCTGAGGTAAATCAAGTCAAGTTTGTGTGTGTGTGTGTCTCTCTCTACAGCAGGGTGACGTCAGGCAAAACAGAACCCAGCCCTTCGCATTAATGAGACACACGACTGCTGTTCTGAATATGCCATACTACATGTATGATATCGTTGAATTGGTAACAGTTTCATAATATAAAGTAGCTGGTTATTAATATCAATCAGGTAAAACAATGCAATTTATTAAGGGCGGCTGAAATATACAATTTGCCAGTAGTATGGCAATATTTACGCGAGTATTAAAGTAAATACAATTGATTTATTAGGTTTTAGGCTTCCTTTTTGTGGAACATATTAAAGCCAGTGTAGCTATAATCACAAATTCATTTAGCCACGTCCTATTAGCACAACTTCGCTACGAGTCAAAGCAGCTGGTTAACAGCTATAGGTATCGATCTGGTTTTGAAAGCAGCTTTAGAATAACATTGCTGTCTATGACAGCGCGGCGAAGCTGTTTTTAAAGGGTACACAAATGAAAAGAGACACAAACTGAGCTTTTCCGTTGACCTGGATAAAATGAAACGAATGTTTAAGCTGCGCTAGCTAATGCGATCTCGCTAAGGAAGTTAGCAGCATGCTAACAACTACTGCTGTTTGGGCTCAAACGAGCCGCTCATGTATAACCCAATGGGTTTTGTTTACAAACAGATCCAGCTGCACGCCATCGCACCCTGTTTCTCGTCCAGAACCGAGCCGGTAAATCAGACCCACCTGCCGAGGTTGAGCCCCTGCTCTTTGTCGTTGATCGCGGTGGTGTAAATCCTCCGGTACCGCTCCGCCAGTGCTCGCCCTGAGAGAAGAAGCTGGTAGCGGCTCCGACAATCCGAGCGGGCCCCTACAACGGGACAGGAGCCCATCCCTGATCCGATCGGTGCGAAATCGTTTCCAGCTCCGGGGATGACCCTGACACCCAGCCCCATGGAGTGGGATGAGGAGGACAGAATCCCGCTTCCACCGGCACCCGCTGCCGCAGCAGCACACATCATCGTTTAGGGGAACAACGCATATATTAGATTACACTGTCAATCAACAGAGCTAAAAGTCCCAGTCGCACTCCATAAATCCTCTCCGCAAACCCGCAAAACGCCCGGCGAATTACATCCGAGTATCCCCGATTGAAACGACGTTTACGGTTAGCCGCTCTGCTGCGACTGCGAAATACGCGTCCCTTCCTGCGCCGGATCGGCCGAATCAACCGTTATTTCCCCGATTGCAGGCGATCCAACCACGTTCAATTGGCCGAAGTGAAATAACTCAAATGCGCGAGCTGACGTCCGTGCTCTGCGTTTATTCCTGCTGTTTTTCTTGACCCCGTAAAGACAGCACCCCTAGTAGCGCTGCCATCTTAGCTTCATCATCCTTCCCTGTTCATGTCGCTGACTGTCAAGCATGCTGGGATACATTCCCATCCACAGCACACAAGGGCTGCGTTTCAAAGCGCAGCACGCGTTCTACCTAGATACCATTTGGCCGTTTGAACGTAGTTCGCGAACGCGCATACCAGTGCTCTCTTGGAAGGGGACTCGGTAGAATTTGAAACGCGACTGCTGTAGTAACGAAGCGGCCGAGTATAACGCCTTCAGAAGCGGTTTAATTGCTTTATCGTTTGTTTATTCTCACTGAAGAATTCGAATTTATTGCAGGATTATGTAAACACAACCAGCGCGGTTATTTTATGCTAAATCTTACATACATTAAATATGTATGGTTATTATGCCATACAGGCTAATATGAATGTATGAGTATATTGTAATATTTCTCCTGTTTTGTAAGCTCTGGTTAAGCGTTAATATTTTATTTGAGCAATAGGCCTATTTTTTAATAGCTCTTTTCTGAGATAATCTTATGTTGTCACTGAATTTTTAGCCATGTACTTCACCCATCATTTTTTTTTTTTTTTTTTTATTATTTAGCGTACTATCATGCTAATTGGATAACAAAATGTTATTGTTCATGGTTATGGGTTTTGTAAAACATTAGACTGAGATTATAAAATTAACAGTTTGGGTGAACTGTCCGAAAATAAACTAATATTAATGATATCCCAAAATAACTCTATTATTTTAACCAACATGCTCAAACTATAAACTGGTTGTTAGAAAGTGTTTCCACAGATTATGTTTCTGCATGTTATCTGGCATAGGCCTACTGTTTCTGGTATAGGATTACCACTTAATCGCCCTTACCAGCGACCTTTACTACAATAGAACTAAGGATGTAACCTTGGAGAGCAAAGGTAAACATGAAGAAATCAAAAATTATTTATCACTCCAAAATAAAATAGAAAAATCTGAATACATTTAATGTATAATACATTTTTTTAAATTATAATAAATTAAAAATATTTGAAGGGAATAAAATATTAACAAAATTAAAGTTCTCTAAGTTTAAAGTAGCTATGATAATGTTTCTTTATATCATTTGCATTTTATAAAAATACTGCATATGAATACGTATGTAATATAATTTACTACACTACATTCAATACATTTTAAATTTACAAGGCATATAGTATCCTTAAAGAACGGCCAGTAAACTTGTCAAAAATAATAAAAGTAATAAAAACATATAAAAGTAAAACATATAAAAGATATTGTTTAAATATTTGTCAGTGCATTAAGCATTTGACTTTTCACATTTTGTATTAGTTTAGTTTAGTCAGTACTGAAGCCAAATCTAGAGCTAATCTAACCAAATAACTTACAATAATGGTTCAAAAATGAGTAGCCCAAATTTATGTTAGGGAAAAATATTAAACCTAATTTTCAAAAATAGCATAAATCAAGACAAACAAAAATACACCCAATTTTGTTGAAATGTAGCAATTTGTACATTTGTTTTGCAATATTTTACCAATACTCCGGTTTCTCCCACAGTCCAAAAACATGCGGTACAGGCAAATTGGGTAGGCTAAATTGTCCATAGTGTATGTATGTGTGGGAATGAGTGTGTATGGGTTTCCCAGTTGCGGCTGGAAGGGCATCCGCTGCTTAAAACATATGCTGAATAAGTTGGCAGTTGATTCCGCTGTGGTGACTACAGATTAATAAAGGGAATAGACCAAAAAGAAAATGAATGAATCAACCCATACTTTGTTTGTAGTTTTTAGACAGTAGTGAAACTTTTGAATCCAAAACATAAATTCCTTAAAGTATAAAGTTTCTTAAGACAGTGGTAATGCATCAATGTAAATATATAGACTAAAAATAAAATATAAATATTGATTGATTTATATTGATATATTTTTGGTACATTTATTATATTATATTATATCATATTATATTATATTATATTATATTATATGGGCGAAGCAGTGGCGCAGTAGGTAGTGCTGTCGCCTCACAGTAAGAAGGTCACTGGGTCGCTGGGTCGCTGGTTCGAGCCTCGGCTCAGTTGATGTTTCTGTGTGGAGTTTGCATGTTCTCCCTGCGTTCGCGTGGGTCTCCATCACAATTGAAAGACATGCAGTACAGTGAATTAGGTAAGCTAAATTGTCCGTAGTGTATGGGTGTGTGTGTGATGTTTCCCAGAGATGGGTTGCGCTGCATAAAAATGTGCTGGATAAGTTGGTGGTTCATTCCGCTGTGGCGACCACGGATAAATAAAGGGACTAAGCCTACAAGAAAATGAACTATATTATATTATATGTATTATATATATATTATGTATTATATATATATTATATTTTATGTATTATATTATATTATACGTGTTATATTATATCATACTATATTATATTAAAATGTATTATATTATTATTATATTTGCATATTGCACTACCAATATTATCTATTAGTGAGTGAGACAAAATGAAGCGTGTGAATATACTGTATGTACATAAAACGGGGAGAGTGAGAAAATGTAAAGTGACAAAAATTGCTTCAGACAGTGCTCCAATGAGAGATGCCATTTTTCCTCCTCCCTTCACTGTCACAGAGACAGTCAATAGTTAGAGTGGTGTCAGCATCAGTGAAGTCCTTTTTTTTGCAATGAATCTCAATTAGCATGTGATTGTAATCGATGTGAGACTCATCGGACGCCTTCACTTGTGCAGGTAGTCCATTTCTACCCAAAACAAATCTCTTAAATAGAAAATGGATAGGGGTCTTGACAATATGCACAATATAACAAAGGAATATGCATAAAACCTGCAAAATTAAAGTACCGATCACAATTATTTTGAATACAGAGAGAAAATAGATCAATTTATTTTTTAATTGAAAAGTAAGACAGCGGTAAATCAATGAATTAGTATGCAAATATGAGACAAACTGGAAACTTTCTTTTAAACATATTGCGCCATCTAGCGGTGATCTGTCTTTTTTCATCATTACGCTGCTGTCAGTTTCTACTGCAATCAACCCTTGAACATAAATATCACAAATTCATACAATTTTATGATAATAAAACAATTTAATCATTTGAAAGGAATATGTTCCTTTATAACCAATTCCAAATTAAATTTTTGTTCCAAGAACATTTTAAATATATGAAAACATGTGGCCATGGATAGCACGATTGACTCATAGCAAGAAGGTCGCTGTTTGAGCCCCGGCTGGGTCAGGTCCTTTCTGTTCACACGTGGGTTTCTCCACAGGTATAGGTGAATTGAATAAGCTAAATTGGCCGTAAGTATGTGTGTAAATGCAAGAGTGTGTGGGTGTTTCCCAGTGTTCGGTTGAAGGGCATCTGCTGAGTAAAACATATGCTGGATAAGTTAGTGGTTCATTCTGCTGTGGGGACCCCTGATTATTAAAAGGGAAGGGACTAAGCTAAAAAGACAACGAATGGAAAACTTATATGCACTAGAATAGCTTTTCATGGAACAGCAATAATATCCAGCTGCAAACCTGCAGACCAACACACGTTTCAGGACACACGGTCTAGGCTGCGGCCTACATATAGTTAATAAATAGTGTACACAACTGACAATAGTGTATTTCACAAATATTAGTGGTAACAATAAACAATTTATTAAATAAAGGTATAGTTCAGTCAAAAATTACAATTCTGTCTCACCTTTTACTTACTTAAACATTTATGAGATCTTTGCTCTTTTAAACACATATGGAGATATTTTGAAGAATGCTAAAAACCTGTACCCATAGACTTTCATTGTATGTTTCTGCTATGAAGTTCAAGGGTTACAGGTTTTCTGCTTTCTGCAAAATATTTATTTTTATGTTCAACTAAGAAAAAAACTAGGTTTGGAACCACTTGAGGGTGAGTGAATAGTGAGCACATTATAATTTTTGGGTGAAATGTCCCTTTAAGATTAAGGTCAACATGCAAAAGTCCCTTCCACTTCGAAACCTAGCTTACCGACTTGGAGGATTGTGTGTCTTAAAAAGTTTGTGGGATGTATTAATGCAAATTATTCCCAGAACAATCGTGCAGTGATCATTTTCCCCGATAGAAGGCGCTGTAAGCTTTATCGATCAGTTGAAGAAATTCGGACAAGAATTAACCACGCAGTCACACCTTTTTCAAGGTAATAATCACACACTAATTGTTCGTGCTAAGTAGATCTATTGTATGTACAATGTCATGGTTCTTAAATAGGGTATAACAAAAAATAAATAAAATAAACTATTTACCTAAACAATTTAACTTCCTAAAATTATAGGCTATTTACATAAAGCACACACTTTTTCCCCTCATTGTTAGCCTAATAAGGTAAAATTAAGAATAGTAGGTATAGAAAAGTTTAATTTATGGGTAAATACAAAAAGCAAAAAGTATTATTACAACATTTGATTAATTCTAAAAATATCTTTCGAGGTTTTTAAAGTCACATTTATTTTAATAGCGTATTTAAATATAACCCTTTTGATCTGTGTCGATCTGTAAGCCTACTGTTTTTCGTAGTGTCATTTATACTGAGTTTAGATCAGTTTGACATACATATAACATATTTGTTATTATATAAAATAGCATATGAAACTTGCCCATAACCTGCCTACTAAAAGGGTATTTTTGCAGATTTTCTTCTCAATTTCTATTTAATTACTTGGTTCAACTACAGCGAGTATTTATGACATTTTAAGCACCAATCTTTGCTGCATTAGCTTGTCAAATTGGTTTTTGATAATATAACAAAAATATTTCCTACAATTTTGTCCAAGTGCTTACCATTCTATATTACAACAAAATGTTTATTTAAAAGTTGGCATTTAAAAAGTAAGCTATTACAGTTTTATAAATAATGTTGTGTGATTAGAACCCTTAATTAAAAATTTATTAAAGAATAAAATACTTGTTTTTATGCATCATGCATCATTAAAAAACAATTAGGAATCTGTTAAAGCTTTGTAAAAACCAACTAAAGCATATTAAAACCGTAGTCTATAGATAAATAACAAACTGGCCAGCTCAATTAAAATTT